AAGTATAAAATATAAAATATAAATATAGTTCTAATGTTTCGATAATAATGTAATAAAAATCCTAATCATCCTTTCAACTATTACATAAAAAACACCCTCTACATCCATTGTCAATTAAAGATGTCAGGTTTTTTTACGGATGCGATTTTTAAAATCACCTAAAGATTTGCTTAATGTTTCTTTTTTGTCTAATTTGCTCCACAGTATGGGACCTAGATTTCTAAGATGATGCTTACCAAACGTGACTGTGTTGCTCAGTTGACATGACCATTCTGGCCTCAGAAATCAGTTTTACTAAGTGGGAAATGAGATTCTCGATCTTTTTTTCTTTTATCGACTTTGGATAACTCACTTTATCTGTTTTCAATTCGGTACGAACTATTATTAAATTACTTTTTCTCTCAACGAACTTTGAGGTGTACAGTACATTTACACAGCTTGTTATGCAAGGGCTTATGYCTAAGCCATTCCGAAGTTGAGGAAAAAACTGTGTTTAGGTGGAATTGCACTGTATTGTGGACTGTTTTAGGGGACATATTTCCAAGATGGCGTCTAATTTCGTTCCCTAAAACAGCCCACAATTCACACAAGTGCAAATCAACCCAGTTACGTTCTTCCCTCAACCTCGGAATGGCTAAAAGCATGTTTGAAAAACAATAAAGTAGAGAGAATAAGAGAAAAATATCAAATGCCCTTGCACAATTTATTACTACTATACTTTGAAAAACAATAGACTAAACTAATCAAATACCTATATAATACTTGAGTCTCAGATATAGTACATGCGTCCCTTTTCTTCAAGACCTAAGCCGTACATTACGTACGCGTGTTGCTGAATCTGTAAGCCATATACAACTATTTCAATAAAATATGTCATCGCCAAAGGGAATAGCCGGCAATAGGAGATGAGAGATAAGCAATATAGGGCTTTTAAGTTGTGACGTATTTCCGGGTCAAATCACACGAAAGATCGCTAATATCTTGCCACATTTATTCCCAGGATTTAATCTCTACCTTCAACGATTAGATATATGAACAGACTAGAAAATCCTGCTATAAAGAAAAAACACAGAAAAATGTCTGTAGATGCAATTATTAAGTTGGACCAGGAAGTTGTTTTACGTTCGATCGAATTACGTCACACTGAACAGCTCTATAGAGAGAGGTCCTTCCAGGATCCAAGAATACTGTTTCTGCTTCTTATTCCCSTCAAGAATATGGACCTTAGTGTTGGGACTAATTAAATGTTGTTTGTTGTCGATGAAACCATTTTCGTTTCGGAATGATGGCGGTGACAACGTTTTTTGAAATAGAGGTATATAACTCCTAAGTTCTTGAATACGCACGACAGCCGTTGTCGGCACATGAGGGCGATCGAAGGTTAGTTTGAAAATTCTCGATCAAAAAAACTGTTCACATGTAAAAATTCTTGTAAAAATTGCTAAATTAGGTTATACTTATATGACAAAACTTGAAGTGTTCTTAAACTTGGCCTCCCTTTCAAAGTGTTTTGGTCCTTTCCCCGAAGAGAGGGCCTTTATCTTATCTCTCTGCTCTAGTCCTCTTGTCACTGCTTTGCTTGCCCTTGCTGTCCTTCTCTTAACTAGCTGCCCTCAGTTCCCAGCCGAGATCAATCATATAATAAAATACCTAGTGAAATAGATACTGAATAATGTTCCTTACTATACATTCATAATTTCAGAAAGCAAAAGCGAATCATCATTCAGACTCTGAAAGACTTCTTTACTAAACTGACCATTTTCATCGCACAAAGCTTGTGCCATCTTGTCAATAGCAATTGTTGATAACACTGTCTGCACGTATGCCTCGATCAGGTCATCCAATCCCAAGCCAAGCTGGAGGAAATTATGACAATCATGTCGAATCATCCTGTCGACGTCTGAATTCCACGTTCCGTCTGGATTCTTGAAAGAGAGGTTGGTCATGAATGCCTCAGCGTGGTCACTTACTTCACCGAATCCATCTACGATAGGTCGACCTGCTCTTCTTGAGTACATTCCAACGGGCCTGAGACCTGTAGGGCTAGAACTAACCATCATACGAACATCAGATACGTAGACACATCCCTTTTCTGAGGGCAAGGTCCCTATGTGGGTATACCGTTGGACACCTTCGTGACCTTCCTCTCTTAACCCAATTAGTTCCTGGACAATATACAGTTCATATGGATGGTTCTCATTAAGAAAGTCTTGTAGTTGTTCCTCATTCTTAATGATATAGACTCCCTGACCTGCGTTGCTATAAGGGATCTTGATTACAGCCTGGCCACCAAATTTTGCCACCCAATTCGGGATGTCACGCCTTTGTACGTCACATATGGTAAGTGGGGTGTTAATAGCTAATCCAGTATCCAGCAGCTCTTTGTTGAAACTGGTATAGGCCTTGGACGCAAGTAACTTGTTCCTTCCACCAGCTAAACACACAATGGAAGGATTCACAATCAAAGTCTTCGAAGAGATTGGAAGACGATTCCATGGGCGTTGAGTGACGTAACGGAAGGCAGCTCGGATGGGGTGCCATGTTTGATCCTCTCCAAAAACATGCAAGACGCCATCACGGAATTCAAAAGCTGGGTTTGTCTCATCAATGTATGCTGAAACAAAATGGACCTCTTCATTGAATAAATCAGCCATGGCATGAGCATAACCAGTTGTTTCGATGGGGTTCTTATCGTAAAGAACAGCCAGTTCTCCTTGGACTAACCGTCTGCTATTCAAAGTTGTCTTGAAAGTACGCTCCAAGAAGGTACGGTAGCCTCCATGTTTTTGTTCTTTATCCACAAGAGGCATGTATTTCTGACCGGATGGACAAGAATTATTTTCAATAAGCACCATTTTCTTTTCTCCATCTTTTGACGCGACTTTCATCAGATCTGCCCCGGCCCACAGGAAATACCTGGGCTGGTATGCCAACAATGTTTCCAACTTTTCTTTACTAACCATAGGATGTAGCATGCAATAACGTCTCACAATAGAAGACCCGTCAAGTTCCAAAAAGTACTTGGCAACTGGGTCTATCGGTTTCTCATATCCTTTATGTACCCAGTGGTTGTTCGGCTCAAAGGAATTGGGCTTGATAAGTTTAGAGGGTTTAGCTGGTTGCTGTGTATTTGTCGTCATCGTGATTGGAGGGATTGTTGGTCACGCTTCTTTCTTGCCTGATGCTGGGGACTAGGGCAAATCTGTTGACAATAAAAACAAAACTAAGTACCTCCTGACTGGGGATAGTCGTTACGGTAAAGAGAGAATGATAGCTCGGAATTTTTACACACTAAAAGATTTAAGTCTACGCTCCAATTTTGATCTTCAGTTATTTACGTGAGGACTAGGAAGAGTAATCTATTGTAGAGTAACCTTGAATGTCGGCTGAAAGGGACATGACATTCATCAAACTTTACGGTTTTTTTCAGCAAAAGGTAGAGACAGTTCTTGAAAATAGGCCTTATTGTTTTAATTCCTCCTAAAAAAGGACCGTTTTGAAAACAGATTATAAGCTACAAATATATTCTAATACATTTTTTCTCTATAATTTACATATTTTTTCACCGGAACTATGTTTTTTTTTTTTAAGTGATCGACTTTTAAGTCATTTTACTTGCACGATTGCATGGTGACCATCTGGTTTTTGAACTTATTTTGTGTGTTTATTTTATGTTGCTTTTACAAAGTTTCAGAAAATTGACATTCGTATTTGTCCGCTAACGTCCTTAAGTGCATTACTCTAAATGTCTGCCTGTTTGTTTGTCTGTCATTAGCGAGATGAGGGTTGGAGAGAAGGGCGCTGCATAATACGTGACCTGCAGGCGTAAGCAATAAAGTTTGCATGTAAAATGCGTCTACATTGCGTGTACATGCGTCTACATTGTTCAATATATAAATATAATTTATTTATATTTCATATTTATTTTATTCATCGAACAAATTAATGGCTTATAGCGATATGATAAATTCGATTCGGAACTCTTTATTGAGGTGGAGCGAATATTTCAAATATCCGCTCGCTAACGTGATAAAGGCCTAATATGCTCAACTGGTTTTATTCTAGAAAACATCTATATCATTATCAAACTCTCGCTTGCTTTCACATGAAAGTGGATAAGCACGAATAGCCGGTAATCTAATTACATGATTTGATGTAACATCTAAATTTTACTAGACATTTGAAAGTAGTTTTATATCCAAACGACTCAAGTGATTGCGAGTCTCAAGTCAATATATTAGAGTRAGTTTTTCTGGTTTGTAAACAAGAAAGTTTCGTACTTGACTAACAGTCGAAGTTAGACAAAAGAAAACAAAGGAATTTGTACCAACCATGTACTATGTATTACGCAGATTGCGCAGACTATTTTTTYATGGACATGGGCGAATGAGAATCACGCTAGAGTGGTTTACGATCGCTTTCCTTCGATGTACTGTCAGCTTTAGGATGATTTTTTCAACCCGTGATAGAAAAATGAACGTTCCATCGCACTCTTGAGAGTCCGTTCGCCTTATTGTATGCCTGTTTGCTCTAATGACAATGCTTCTTCGCTTTAATGAATATTCCTTTGCGGTTAATGAACAGCAAAAGGTGTACTAGTTGATTATGAAAAAAAAAAAAAAAACCCCAAAAGAAAACAATGGGTTTAGAGTCTACTAATAAATATTGTGCTTACTATGTTTTCACGGCTTATAAAATAAGATCACTCCACAGGTGGCTGGCTTGATTTAGACATAAATTAATGTAATATGGCATCAAGTTCATGAATGATCTAGACGTGTTCATTATGATGTGTAATCAAGCATAAGCTGCATTAATTGCATGAATCGAAGCGAATATTGGGTTTCAAAACTACTGAAAATTTGAGAACATTTACGTCGATACTTTTTTGAGTGTTTTTTTTCAAGTCTGCAAAGTTCCAGTGCAAGGAATGCCGCCTTGGGTACCTTTGGACGTGGGTACCTTTGGACGTGGCAACTTTCGGCATCCAACCGCGTATTACTCATGCATTTGTGATTATTCAATGTTCACTGTTTGTTTTCGACTCATGTCTGAAACTATTCTGATATTATTTTGAAAATATCTAAGATATTAGTGGATATGAGATTGTTTTTGAATCTTAACGCATTGTCCTTGCTTTTTTCGTAGCTTGAATATCGATTTATGCTAATAAGCAAACATAAAACGGTCTCGATCCTAATCACCTGGCCTCGGCTCTTGTTTTTATGTACTTTTCAGTTTATTTTATTTTCAGTTTATTCCTTTTTTACTTTCTTATTTTTGTCGTGTTGCCTGGTAGAGTGCAAACAATTAGAGTGCTCACACTAAATCCATGAAACAAATACTAATTTTTAGCACTAAATGGTGATAATTAAACAATTAAAATAATTTTTTTTTGCGGATACGGGTTGCGTCCACACGTGTTCGCAAATTTTTGTGTCCGTATCCGCAAATTTTACGAAAACGGATACGTGTGGACGATGAAAACGATTCGAATACGCTGCGTGTGGACGCAACCCGTATCCGCAAAAAATAATTTGCGGATACAAAAATTTCCGGATGCGTGTGGACGGGGCCTTAATATCATTAAAGTTTCGCGGTTATATTGTTTCTACTCTGGTATRAACTTTAGCGTCAAATACATTCAGTATTTTAGGGCTACTATTTTAGCTAGATTTTAATAGAGTGCAAACAATTAATCCTTGAAACACAAATAACTAAATAGTACAAAATAGTGCTAGCTAAACAATAGAAAGCAATGGAATTTGCATGAAATTGTGCTATTTAGTATTAGAGTACAAACACTATAAGTGTGCAACATAAATACCACTAAATACTGCTAAATAATGCTAATCCTATCGTTTTCTATTGTTTAATTAGCATTATTTACTACTAAATAGTGCAAAGTGTTGCACACTTTTAGTATTTGTACTCTACTCTAGTTTCACGGCTATATTATATTGTTTGCACGCTAGCACATTATTGTCTAAGTTTATTTCATAAATGCTATTACACGTTGACTAATAATTTTTATTTCACGGGTAAATGCCTTCACTCTATTTGTATGGCTCTATATAGCCATTTCCAGCTCCTCTTCGCGTGTCAAACACACAATGAAATAATTCAAATACCTTGTTTGCGTGAATCGAATTTCTTAAGGTCTGAGTTATTGGTTGGTCACGTACGAATGGCGAAAATGGCTTGTGATAGTTCCATTTATACAAGTAGTCTAAAGCGAGTAACTAGCAACACAGCATTTTACTCTACTAAACCARTGCAACAAAAATTACATTAATGTATTTTGGTCAAAATGGGATATATTAAACTTAATTCAACTAGAGTGAAATCCTTAAATCCGTGAATAACATATTAGTAGACTAGTAAACAGTTGAAACCCTAATTCTATTTTTCTAGTATTAGACTATTGTACGTTGACTAGCGTTTTTTTATTTTATCTTAACCGTTTAAATGCCTTCACTCTATCTACAATTGCAAGAAAATAAAATCGAAATACCTCACCTTGTGGAGATTCTGTTTTATTGTTACGTTCTTTCCAACTCGGGGTCTTGGCGAAAATGAATTCATGAAATACTTATTCCAGTAGAGTGATTTCATTATTGAAATAATTTATCGGTAAATGCTTGTGTTTTCCCTTTSATCCATGGATCTCTATGACAACTAATGCAATGTCTATTTTTTTAATTGTTTATTCTATTTTGTACCGGTTAGAGTGATTTTAATCAGTGGAACATTGGAAAAAGGGTACCTTTTTTCAGACAATCGCGGTAAATAGAGTCGCAAAATGAAAAAGGTAGTTTTTTTTCTATATTGCATCATTTGCCAGAAATGTTAAAATTGGGAAAAGAGTCCGAATTCAATGACCGTCATTTAATAATTAAGAGAAAAGTAGAGTTGCCGGAGTGTTCCACTGTTTTTGTTTACAATCTTGTCGTTATAGCCTTAATTAAATATAATGTTCAGCTCTGCTCCCGTGTAAATCTTGCAACTACATTTTAATTCACTTCGTTCAAACGAATGTAAATCATTTACGTTCTAAATTATTGTATTAACGACAGAAACCAAACTAAGGTTGGTTACACGATCGAACTGATAATGACTGTTTATTCAAACCGATTCCCCTATACCTTTTGCGGGATTCGGGATTGGCCTAATCTTTTTTACGGGAAACGGGAATTGAGCTTTTTTTTATGCGTGATTCGGGATTCAATCTTTTTGTGTCCGCGCGAATCCTTCTTTCCATTTATGCGTGATTCGGGAATGTCTTTACTTTGCGCGACGTCCGTTTGCTGATTTTGGCGATAACAATTCAATACTATTCTTATTGTACTCTGGCTGTCACTTAAGTTACGGTCACTATTCACTATTTCCGTTCTTTTGTGATGCTTTCCCGCACACATGACCTGATTGGCTTTTGAAGAGGCCATTTGACAACTTTAATTAAGTGATAGCACGAAAGTAGATGAGTAGTCTGGACTGATTCGAAAAAGGATTGCAAACATCATTTAAAATAATTCCATTATTATACTTGATATTCCTAGATAAATCTGTTATTATAATGCGTGAAACGTTTTTCCATGAACTTAGAATGTAACAAATATTTTGGTGTATTTTTCGTGATTCGAAAAAATAATTTTATGTGAAACGTGATCACTTCGATTTTTGCGTGGATGGGAATGCGATTTCAGAATTTTACGTGAGAATGGAATTGGCCAAATAATTTTTTTTTGAATGCATTTTGCTAGGGGGTATAGGATTAATATTTAATACAACTTCATTAATAAAGGTATAAATCTATAGTCCCAAACTCTTAGACACACTCAAACGATTATCAACTGTTTGCAACACATACATATCTTTGGCTTTGTCAGTTTTCCATCTTCCGTGTAGTTTGAGGAATCTTTCATAAACATTCCTCAGATTGTTCTTGAACACACTGGTATTTTCACCTGAACGCAGGCTGTTCAAACCATAGTTAATAGGGGGAATGGTTATGAAACCTATTGTTATAAGTCTTTGTTCACTTTTTTCAAGCGTGACCCTGCACAATCCTTTGTTTTACCATTGTTGGCAATGGCTGAGCCAAACAGACCAAAATAAAGATATTTGAATATTCCTTACAATAATCCCATAGAGTTTATATTTACTTATTTTGCAATTTTGGATGAGCAAAAATCAAACCTTGTGCATGGTCAAGACCGATTCAACATCAAAAGCGAACAAAGACCTATAACAATAGGTTTCATAACCATTCCCCTCTATTAAATATGTGCTAACCAAAGCTTTTAGATTCATAACCTAATTGTTTTAAGGCTTCAATGAAAATTTCTATAGCTCTCGTATATGATAACTTTGTATTCCTAAGTTTGAAGCCAGAGCCTGTTTTTATTAATGACCTAAAAAGGCGTAATTCTATGTTTTTATTCATATCAAACTTATGCATATATTCCTTTCCAACAGGGTGAATGGACAATACGCAGTATTGGTTCTAGCTACAAAAACCTATTTTTTTCCTCTATATTGGTCGTTCTTACTGTGGAACAAAAATCTTAACACAATCAGTTTCTATTGAAACATGATYAATGAGTATATCGCATAATTCTTCAGTGCGAAAAAAGCCTGCAAATCCTAGAATGCAAAACGTAGCTAAGCGTAGGTTTTTTCCATCGGCATCAGCGGCGGCAAATTTGTCTATTTGAGCTCCTTAATGATATCTGTCGTAATAGGCGCCCTCATATGAATTACATTATTCCTAGATGTTTTCGCCAATTCCACAATATTCTTACAAACACCATCATCTAAAGGTTTGCCAGGGAGTCCCGGGATTAACGAATGGAGCGACTTAAGCGCGGCGTGGGTCACAATCACTGTAGATGGAAACTTGTTCTTTTTCTGGATTTCGTAAAGGAACACCGCCACCACTGGAATAGAAAAGGGTAAATTCACAGCGATAGACTTTAGTTTGCACAAACTAAAAAACTGTTTGACTGCTCTCATATAATCACGCACTGTGGAAGGCGCTCTAGATTTTAGGAGGCCTGAATAACATCCTTAGCATTGGGGATCAAAACCTGAGGAAGTGGCCAGAATGTACTGGACTTCAGGATCTTAAAAGCAAAAAGAAAAAATAGACAATAAAAACGACAAAATCGCACATGCTAATCACTTCCAGACGAGTGAAATGCGTGCTCTGGCATCTCCTGGAATGTAAGGAAACACAATTGTTTCACCAGCAAAATACTATACAACATACCAACACATAAAGCAATCAAGTTTCATATTCTCCAGTGGGATCATCTCCATATACTTTCTTTGAGGCCCCGTCCACACGTATCCGGAAATTTTTGTGTCCGCAAATTATTTTTTGCGGAGACGAAAATGTTTACGTCCACACGCAGCGTATTCGAATCGTTTTCACCGTCCACACGTATCCGTTTTCGTAAAATTTGCGGATACGGACACAAAAATTTGCGGACACGTGTGGACGCAACCCGTTTGCGGATACAAAAATTTCCGGATACGTGTGGACGGGGCCTGACTTTCTTTCACCTTGGACCCAGTGGTCCATGCGTATCAACTCAATAGCTCTTACTTACATGGCTACGAAAATTGATATCGTAGGCAGCAAACCGACCTTGAAATCGGTTCGAGCCCAAAAGTAAATTAGGGTTTTTTCCCAACTTTAACACCGTGTCACCGTCTTGGACAAGGCAACCTGTGATAAATTTGCCAAACGTTCTCGTTAACACTGGCCAAAATGCGGAGGAGGGCCAAACCGGCACTACGACTGTTCCCATCGCTCTATGCAGGGACATATGTCGAACGGCTCGTGCAATCATACAAACTGGCGGTACGACCAAACAATTCTCGGGCGTCAATGCAAATTCTGAACAAAGAAATCAATGCCTGTGGAACCTGGATTCCAAAATTGAGAATAAAATCGCAGTAATTTAGCGAAGTAATACACGACAAAACAATCCACCGTATGGGAATCCCATAGATGCTCGAGGTCGTGAAAAATTCTCTGTTAACTGCCAATCATCATAGTCATAGAGCTTGCTTTATAGAGTCCGCTTTTTCATTCTGGGTCCTTGGAATCCATTGGATGTCCAAGTGGATGTTGTTTTGAACACAGCACTGATAAATTTCGATAGCAAGTCTATGCAATACTATGCATACTGCCGACCTGGACGATACGGGCAGCCGATTGATTATCGGTATGCCACTTCACGTGCAAAAATTGTAATTAAGACTTGAAAGGCTTCACAGACAATAGGATCGTTTCTAATTCCTTCCAGGTAGAGCTTTCGTGACTTTTGTAAGAATCCCATAATTTATGACAGACAAATTCTTGATTAAACTCAATAAAGGCTCCACAGCCTGTGACGCTGGCATCAGAGTAAACAAAGTAACTGGGCTTGCTTTCTAAAAAAAAAACAGTTCTTTTGGTTCGTGCTGTACAAATTTTTGTACCAAAAGTGCAATTCGCAAATACAATAAACATCTAGGCAAGGTTCCGAGTCCCAATGATCCGTGCAAACAGTGGCTATAACACAATGTCTCGTCATGATTCTTGACAAATTTGACCCGTGACCGGACCCGTAGAAATGATCTGGCCAGTAAATGAGGCTATGGTTCTCGCTGTGACGCAACTATTCTGAATAGTTTGTATAGACTGTTTGATCTTATTCACTATTCGACTTGTCACGCTGAGAATGCCCGACTGACTGTTCCAATTCAAGCCTAACCATACTAGTTCTTGACAAGGGGTCCACACGGATTTCTCGTTATTGACTATGAGTCCCGCCCTTGAAAGACCTTCCTTAACTGGGTTTGCAATTCTACAGCTTACTTGATAGCCGTTTTCTGTACCCCACCATCGTCTAGGTATAATGCTGTACGAATAACCTGGTATCTCCAGTGTTTCAATAGGGGTTTGAGAGTTTTGGTAAATATAAAAGGCGCCGTGGCTAATCCAAAAGGAAGTACAATAAAGACAAAATATTTTAATATTCGAGCAATCGTACATGTCCATGAAACGGAAAAATCTCTATGTGGTGGTAACTACTTTTTAAGTCATGCAACTCCCTTTTTTAAAATACGTTATAGCAGTTTTCCAATCCTCGTATTTAAAGCGATGTTTGACCAAATGTTGGTTGACAATTTCGCCAATAGTTAATACAATAAATGCTATGGTAACGAAACTTGTTAAATTGGGTGAACCTTGTAATGTGAGTGATCTGACCACGTGATATGACGTGACTTCACATATCACGTGGGTTAACAACCAAACATTATCGCCGATTTTTGCCAGTAGTTTTGACTTACAAACAATTGCATGTTATTATTTCATCAAATGAAATAATACTTTGTACGACCAGGATATCGTATAAAAAGAATCATGGAAGGTTTTGACATTTTAAGTAACTTGCAATGCAAGTTTGAAATATTAATTGCACAGTTTTTGAAATATTGCGAAGACGTTTTCGCCTGATTTGCATGCAGACTACGAGCATGCGTAGACGTTTTTCTCTCGGGTCGCATACCACATTATCTCAGCATACGAGCATGCAAATAACACATTTCGTGTGTTTCGTGCGTTTTCGTGTGGAAATCAAGCAAAATTGACGACAGTCAGCTTAACCAATCACAGCACAAAAGATGACGAACGGTGAGCTTGCAATGATAGAGACATGTGAATAATTGTCCAAGGTGTTAAAAAAGGTCTCTATTACTGCCAGGTCACCGTTCGTCTCGCTTCGATGCAAAGGCACCGCTACCTTTCAAGATGGCACAGGGAACTGTGAAGGGGACTATTGACAAGGAACCTTGGCGATTCTATGTTTATCTACTGGGTAAGCGTAAATAAATGGACGTCTCCTATTTCTTTTTTTTCTTATTTTTTTTAACATCATTTCATCTACGATTTTACGTTACAATTTACTATCACCTTCACCTATCTTCTTCTATCTATCTTCTATCTATCTTTTTCGGTACATAAAGGCTTTGACGCGGTTTACTGCGTACCGATGGAACACTTGACTGACAGTCAGTCATGGTACGGTGGTCGTAAATTATCGATACAATTAAGATTTGGTTTTACTTGGCTTGTGAAAAATAGTATAAGCATAGTACATTCCATTGTTTTCTTTTGCTTTCCTTTCCCTTTGGCTGTCGTTAGTCACGTCAATATGACTTAGTTTCAGGAGTCATGTAAAATCACTCTAATTGCCCCCCCCCCCCCCAAATGTTTTATTTGTTATACGTCAGATTACTGCTTATACAGTTTCTTAGCATAAAAGAACACTAATTTTTTGTCGTTCTCATGTTAATATTTCTGCAGGGAAATTCAACAACCATCTTCATTCACAGTATTCCAGTAGCAATAGCTCGTATTATTTCTTGACCAGCTACGCCATTGCAGTAGAGTTTCGTGTCGTCTTTATATTTTGCAGTGTGATCGTCCTAACAACTATTATCATTTTCTTCCGGTGATTACGACGCATGAGCGGCAAATCCCTCCCACAGCATGGAATTAATTCCCAGTAATGAGAATATCCCCGTTTGAGCTATCTTTATCCTTCATTTTGAACCTTTTAATTCTAATATTTAAACCCCCTTTCTTCTTAGGTAATGCAAATACAAATAAAATTACGTACAAAGATCAATAAACTATTAAAACAATAACATTTTGATTTTTTTTTTGTACCGCCATTTTGAGTACCGGGAAGAAACTGGGCTCGAACTATTTGTACGCGTAAACTGATGACGAAACAACTGACATTCTTGCATAAGAAGAAAATACTAAGCGATAACACACCATTCCAAATAATTATGAATTCGAAAGCTCTGAAGTAATCAAGTGACACAAACGAACTATTCTTCTAAAACGAACTATTCAAGTTTGAAAACCACGGAATAATTTGCAATTAGTTCTCGAGCACGAATGGTTTATGAGTCAATAGCCCGTGGGGCTAAAGGCCGAATGGGCTATTGACTCATAGGCCATGAGGGCGAGAGGACTTATTGTTTTAATGAAATCTAACTAGACGGTCAAATATTTATATGCAAACGAGTCTTGTATTAAAGTTCAATTCAACTTTTTGCTTTCAAAGCCGGAATTTTTCACTACTAGTAGGCTATTACTTATAGCCTAGTAGTAGCTCATCCAATCAGAACACAGCATTGATGAACGACTGCTAGCTGAATTTGACTAAAATGAGTTATATGCAAGCATATGTTGGTGCACGTGCCGCACTAAATACAAGCGGTTCTTTTCAAAGTCGCTATTGGCTCTTGTGCATTCAAAATATTCAATTAAGAAAAAAGTTAAGAAGGAAAATTAAAATTTCGATTGCTGTCTTGTCTAGCTTCTAGCTATTACAGTTACCTAATTTTCTGTATTATATTGTTTTCATCTTTTTTTTTGCTCTCAAAAGAGGAGAAATGATTTGAATGTTAGACTGATTGACTATATTACTTGAATGACTATTGAATGACTTTTTTGTTTTTTGAAGTACAATTTTTTTTGTGTTCCTTCTAGTCTTCCTTTTGACATGCTCTGCAAACAAAAAAAAAAAAACCACGATATGATCAGATTATAGATTTTAATTAAAATTTATTCATTTGAAAGTTTGAATGAATAAATGGTTGATTGATTGACTGTTGTTTGATTGTATGTTTGTTTGTATGGTTTTTAGGTTGATGCATTGCTTAGTTGTTTTATTGTTTAATGTGATCGATTGATTGATCGATTGATTGATTGATT